GAGGGAAAGAAAAGATCCGAAGTACTCGAGGAATATTTGAGGAGGGAGGGGATGCTTTCAGTTTTGGGAGTAGGCTTGGGTCAAAGAATGCTTTACAAAGGAGGTGGCACCGAATGAGCCAGAGAAAGATCCTGAGAGACAGAGGTGAAGAAGAAGCGCATTTCAGTTATACGGGTACACATGAAGAACAGTCTATACTGTTCCATGTAGGTGGGCAGTAGCATGTTGAGTTTGAGGAACAGCTGGTGTTCCAGTTTGGGTGGAACATAGAGTGTACAAAGGGAAGTAATATGGAACATGGTTCAAAGGGAAGGTTAGAGCCAGATTGTGGAGGGCCGTAAGTGAGTTGGTATTTAATCATACGAGCAACAGAGAACTGCTGAGCGTATGTGAGTAGGAGTAACACAGATGTGCCTTTGGAAGACTATTTTTCTATCTGTGTGAAGAGTGAATAGGAGAGGAGAGACTGGAGACAGGGATACCAGTTATGGGTGATGGGAGAGTGGCCATCCGAGTAGAGCAAAGGGAACAGATTGGAGAAATGTGGTGTCAGAATCAACAGGACTTAGCAACGTCTTTGATGTGAAGGATGAGGAAGGGAGGCCGAGAAGATTCTAGAATTTTGAATGCAAATTGACTGGGCCACCACCAGTTCCTTAAATATTTTCATGTGAAATGTGTGCATTTGGAAAACATACAAAAAGAATTGATTTCCTTTACCACAGGACAAAGATGCAATGTTGACATTGATGAGTGCACCTCGAACCCATGCCGCAAGGGCGCAACATGCATCAATGATGTGAATGGTTTCCGTTGCATCTGCCCAGAAGGACCTCACCACCCCAGTTGTTATTCACAAGTGAATGAATGCCTCAGTAATCCCTGCATCCATGGGAACTGTACAGGTGTTGCCAGTGGGTAAGTTTGTTGGGTGTGACATTTGATGTCATACATGGAACTCCCACATTTTACTAAAGGTAATTTCTAGTTGGATCTGCAGAGTAACAGGTTTGCAATACCCAGAAATGAAGTTAGTTCTTTTTAAATATTAAAATAAACACTTTCATATTATTATTGCTACAAATTCAGTATTCACAACAAACCAATAACCATGGGAGTTGTGTTCAACTCAAACCTCACAATTTGAACCATTTACATCTTGAACGAATGAGGGAGGGGAATGACAAGAATTACATCATCGTCAAGGATACCCACATCAGGGCATGCCTTTCAGGCTGAGAAAACAGAAGAATGCATTTGCTCCTTGTCCCCTGCTGAATCTCTGTACAATTATAGAACTCTGTTCCCTTTGATTGGATTTTACTTCTGTTTTTATGGTTGTAGTCAATGGGATTAAAGGAGCTTATTTTTTCCCTCTCTTCCTTAGCCCAAGGTTATGTTCCAGTAGTAATTTAGAGTCAAAAGCAGGAATTTCTCGAGTGCATTGTGTGCTTTTCTTTCAGGTACAAGTGCCTCTGTGAAGCAGGCTGGGTTGGCACCAGTTGTGAAGTGGACCAAAATGAATGTCTCTCCAATCCCTGCCAGAATGGAGGAACCTGTGACAACTTGGTGAATGGATACAGGTGTACCTGCAAGCAGGGCTTTAAAGGTGAGAACAAAAGGGCTTGTTTCTGCCTGGTTTGGGGACGGAATGGTGTATGGAGTCAGTTTTGTGGAGGGAACAAGAGCAGGGTTTCAGTTTCGCCCGCTAGTTCTCCTGAGACATGCAGTGTTTATCGGTGGGTTGCAGGGACAATTTAGTGAGAGCATGGTGGAGGTCAAGTGTATTTAAAGTACATCAGCATATCGAACGAGCGCAAGGGATCCATGCTCTTCATCTCCTTACAATGGAACCATTGTTCGCTTTCTGATGTTCTCAGATAATCACCTCTTTGCTTTCTAGGAAAGTAGCTATTCAGGAGTTCTTTGTAACTATCCCTCGGGTCCTCATTGTTCTGTTTCTGCCACCAGCTTTCTTTTGGAAAACCCAGGAGAAACGCTTTCTGGTATTTTACTGACCTACTATCCTTAATCATTTGGAAACCAGGTTTTAAGAAGTACGTCTTTCCTTTTACTCATCGTAATTTTTTGGAATGCCTTAATCTGTTCAAGTCCGTGTGACAGAGGGTACGACAGAGGGCACAGAGCATTCAGAGATACGTAAGACACAACAAGGAATTTATAAGTCTAATAGGAAAAATAAGACCTAGGTAACTGCAACAGAGTCCCTCTGCTGGGTGGTAATCCCCATAATTGTTAATAATAATCCTATTTCTTCTTGACTTTATACAACCTCACCATTTCTGAAATGGGAAGATTTCTAATGTGTGTGTGTGTGTGTGTGTCTCACCTTTACTGAGGCCTTCTACACAGCTGAATGAGACCCTCCCTGTCGTGGGCTCAAGCTCCCATGACCCAGATCCTCCTGCCATCCTAGAAGGCTGCTTCATTTTCATTTAACCCCCTGCCGTGAACCTCGTCACGCTAAACTGAAAAATGCAAGGCATACCCCTTCTTCCCCTCAACCTGTACACCTTCCCCTCCCAAACCCCTTAATCAGAGTCTTCAAAAGTCAAAAGGGATTCCTTCTTTCCTCGTTTCCTTTCTGGAGGTGAACTTTGAACCATCACTTTGGAAAAGCAGTGACTATTATGATGTTTGAAGGTAGGAGAGTGTCAGAATACTGGTGAATATGATGAATCTGAGATAGGAGTATAAATCAGACATTAACATTTGCATAGTTATGTATTTAGTAAATTTACTTTTTATAGCCTTCATTTCTGAGCAGGTTCTTTGTACGAAAGCCTGTAGCCCTCTGATAGCAGGAATACCTCACATTTTTGTATAGCACTTTACAAATTTATGGTTTGTTTTTTTTTTTTTCAGAACAACCCTATCAGAAAGATGATATACCAGTATTACTGTCTCCATTATAGATGGGGAAACTGAGGCTCAGTGTGAGTGGCAGTGACTAAGCAGGGAATCTAGCCAAGGTCTTCTTTCTGACTCTCAATCCTGTGATCTTTTATTGCTCATTTTAATGATGCTTTGAGAGTCGGGCATTTAAGATAGGGGTTAGACCAAGCGCTGGTGAGGTCCCTTCCATCTCTCAAATGCTTTGTAATTCAGAAGTTGTGATTTACCATAGTGCATCGAGTTTACTACATGAAATCATATTCTTGGACCATTTCTGAGAGATTATTTGGAAAAGCACAAATCTCTCTTGCCTCTAAAGAATTGTATAGGCAGTAGCGGTTTCTCATCACATTTAATGGGGAACCTTTTCCAGCAGCCTGAAAGAGTTACTATAGTTTCCAGCGTACCTGCTAATTTACCACCATTGGGTGAATTTATTTGAGTTATTCATTTGAGGCAGCAGTGAAGCTGACATTAAATTTCATTCTTTTTTTTTTCTCATTTCCTCCCATTTGTAGGTTACAATTGTCAAGTCAACATTGATGAGTGTGCTTCAAATCCGTGCCTTAATCAGGGCATCTGCACTGATGATGTAAATGGCTATACTTGTCAGTGTATGCTTCCATATACAGGTGGGTTCCTTGGGTGACCAGCAGGTACATGTTAAAACAGATCAAGCACTTGGCTCTGCAATGTCACTTACAGCATTTGGTTATCCATGACATTATCTCTGGTAGCAGTGTCCTCCTCCTTTGGGGCTCCTTGTCTGGATCCTGAGATTTATAGAAAACCTGTGTGCCCTTGTTCTCTTTTATAATTGTAGAGTTATAAGCTCTAAAGAGTTAGAAGGGACTTCGCTTAGTTCACATTGACTGAGAATCTTTTTTCTCAAATGTTCCCAAGCAAGTTGGTGTTCCTGCCTTCTCTTGAAGACCTACAGCGAGGAGGGGCACATATGGACCACCCTCTGTTAAATGTAGCTATTTTATATCATTGTTCCCACTGTAAAGGCACAGAAACTGCCTAGTCCAGGGAATTGCAAAGGCAGCAGCTTAAAATAATGGCACAGTTTGCATCCAGTATCCAGATGTTTCCAAAATCAGATTTATGGTTTTTGTTATTTCACTGTTCACGGTTCTCATTTCTAGTGTCTACCAAGTGCTTACATGACCAAACCTAAAGCCATCATCTCCCTTCCAGTGCTTCCTCTTCCTCCCTTCCATGCATCTGTTAATTGTTGAAACCTTACAATTATTTGTGACTCTTCTCTTCCTTCCCTCCCCCCTACCCCCGTATCCAGTCAGTTGCCATGCCCTTCAGTTCAGGGGAGTCTGACACTCAGCTTCTCTATTCTGCCTTTCACTGGCCTGTATTGGCAGTGAAGGGGACATAAATATCCATGACTGTGTATACAGCCCAGTCATACTGAGGCCTGTGGCTGATTTTGAGAACATTTAATTTGTCGCTGAATTGCTCAGATACTAGAAAGATATTTGTTTATGTTGTGGCTGTAGATAAGGTCCACATTAAAATTATATCCCGCATGTGAACCTAGAGGGATTACATCTGACCAAAACCACAAGCATATTAAAGTCCCAGTGCCTGAATATGGTCACATTCATCTCTAATTGACTCTGGTTCACTGTGACTAGTAATGGAGCAGTCTGCTTTTTCCTTAGATCGTTATGAGTCATCATCAGTCTGAGACATCACAGTGGAAATTTCTGTCAAAATCTAGGGAAGGTATTTTTTTTCCAGTTGGAACACAAAATTTGGCCAAGATTGAGCCTGAGTTAGTTATGACTTGATTTTAGCCAGTGCCGTACTCGAGAGAGGGAAACTTTTTGTTCTCAAGCTTTTATTGAATGTTTGTGCTCAGCATTCCATAAGCCCTTCACTAAGTAAGTTGAGAGCTTCAGTTCTTTTGGATTTATGTGAGGACCAAAGAACTCTGAAATAATGGCATGTCATAGAAGTACAGCATTTCCTCCTCCACGCTTCCTTCAACCCCGTTTCCCCAGTATGTATGGCTTCTGTCACTAAATGAAGGATTTCTGGAACGAGCACTAGAAAACAAGATGAAATATCGTAGATGCTTTTCTTGTTTAACCGAAAGATTTGTGTGGCGATTTGTCAGACCATCCCCATCCCCTTTTCAGCCCTCACTTTTAAGTAGAGTTGGTGGTTGTAGAGGTACCTGTTTTCTGAACATGCCAAAAGGGCACATTGTTCACTCATCTAGCCTGTTTATTTTCACATGATCACTGTGCTTTGGTCCCCACAGGCAAGAACTGTCAGATGGTGCTGGCCCCTTGCAATCCCAACCCATGCGAGAATGCTGCCATTTGTCAAGAATCTGCAAATTTTGACAGTTACACCTGCCTGTGTGCTCCTGGCTGGCAAGGTGAGGTGGACATTCAGCTTAGTGGGAATGGAGAAAACAAACTTCTGTAAGCAGTCAGTCTCACGGTCAGGCAGAGAGGGAATAAAAGACTGATTTAAATTCCTAATCTGCCAAGGCCCTCCAGGTCTCCCAAGCATCCCTTCCCCTGCTTTGAACACAGGGCTAAAGTTGGAGTTGGCAGCACTTTGTCTGCCATCACCCATGCATCTGGGGCCCCCTAGTGGTTGAAGTGCTATATTGGTGCACAGCCCTGTAGGAATCTTAGATAACCTCTTTTGTGCTCCCCACCTGGGTGTCCATGAGCAGAATGCCTTAAGATCCCAGAGTTTGTAAGGCTTGCTACTCCTGTGCTTCCAGGGCCTCGGTGTAATGTGGACATTGATGAGTGCGTCTCCAAGCCATGTATGAACCGTGGCGTCTGCCATAACACAGAAGGCAGTTACCTGTGCAAGTGTCTCCCGGGCTTCACTGGTGTGGACTGTGAAGAAGACATTGACGACTGCCTTGCTAGTGAGTGTGTGGGCCAGCTGGCCATTCCCATAGCGGAGAGGGAAACCTGTAGACCAGAGTGGGGAGGTACTGCCTACTATCTTAAAACAGGGATATTATGGAAAATAGCAGTAGCTGCCATGAGCGATGAGCCAGAGCTGATTCTCTGAAGACGGCTTGCTTCTAGTCTCTCTAATAACAATTACAGAAGAATTCTGAAGCAAAGTTGAGTCAAAAAGTGATTTGATGAATGCATTATCTTTCCTGTTTATAAAATAGAGGCCATCTATATTAGCTCTCTTATATTGGTAATCTTATACATACATATACACATATGCACATATAGATATACACACATACATATGCATACATGTACATACATGCATGTGGCAGCCAGGTGCCACAGTGGGTGGAGTTCTCTCCTCAGGCTCCACCTGAATATACTCACATATCCGATCTCTGCCTGGATAAAGGCTCCTTTGGAGTAATGACTTTCTTTTACCTCTTTGCATCTCCCTCAGTATTTAGCACGGTACCTTCCACACAGTAGGTATCTAGTAAATGTTTATTTGAATCAATATGAATAAAACACTCTACAATCTTTACTTTATTCTATTTACCATTCCCCTAGTTCTTTGGCCAGGCTACTTTGCGTTTCACACAGAGAAGAAAGCAGCAAGATCTTCCATGTCCTTGGAGCAAAAGGGGACAGAGAAAATCATTCTGTCCAGGCTGGAACTAATAATTCTTTTTTCCTCCCTAAGAAAATCAGCGGCTTCTGGGAGGGCCGTGCATCAGCATATCAAAAGGGGAAGCTTGGATATGTAGTTTAGAGAGCAAATACCACATAAGCCAAGACGAGGAGAAGGAAGGGTTCATGAGCTGACAGGGCAGAGCTAGTTGCTGGGTCACTGGTCACAGTTCCAGTACCTGACGCTTCTTTTATGGGACTGCTTGACTCTGGGTTTTTAAGCAGCTCAGGTGTGAAGGAAGGACCTTTAGTACCAGTGACCTATAAATGCTGCCCTTTAGAGTTTTCACCTGTTTGTGTTCATTGTTTTAGATCCCTGTCAGAATGGTGCTTCCTGTGTAGATGGAGTGAACACCTTCTCGTGCCTTTGTTTGCTGGGGTTCAATGGGGATAGATGTCAAACAGACATGAATGAGTGTCTGAGTGAACCCTGCAAGAATGGAGGAACCTGCTCTGACTATGTCAACAGTTACACCTGCAAGTGCCAGGCGGGGTTCGATGGACCTCACTGTGAGAACAACATCGATGAGTGCACTGAGAGGTGAGGGACGGCTGCCTAGGAGCAGATATCCCACCAAACAGAAGGGAAAGGGGGGAAGTTGATGCAAACTGTATTTCCTAGGGTAGAGAATTAGACATTTGCTTGGGTCTCACCACCACTTCCTAAGCCTCTCACCAAAGTGGCTGACATTTAGGTAATTAGCAAATATAGCCTTCTGAATCTTAAAAAGTGGGAATAGTTATTTGTTGGGAAGCAAGAAGAGCCTTTGACCCTTGTCCTTAGCTTCTTACCCACCTCTTGGCTCATTGTTCATTTGTTCTATAGTTGGGTGGGAAGCCATTTAAGTCCCTCATTCTTTGGGAATTGTGTAAGTAGGCTCTTAGGTGTCCTTATTTATCATGAATTTTGCAAATTCTGCAGCTGTAGTGGTCACTAGAGAAAGAAATGTCGAGTCCAGAGTCTTCACTCCAATCCTTTTCAAAGGTATTAATTTTGCTAAAATAAAAAAGTGACTGTGAAAAGCTGCTGAAGGGCCTGAACAGAATCCTGGAGAACTAAGCATTCTCCAGAGCTTTCCAGGTCAGCCCACTATCTCCTAAGTCCTGGATTGGTGGGAAAGATGAGAATGGCACCGGGCTTTTTGACTCTCCATTATATTTGATGAGCACAGGGAACAATCCTGAAATACATGAAAAGGAATATGGGTTTGGGGCTGTTGGGGACATCAGTTCACAAGGCTTTACCCACCTTGGACTCCTTGGATTTCAGATTCTCAATCAGTGACATTAGTAGAGTCTGGTGTCCTTGTTACCATCTTAATGTTGGTTTTCTTCCATGCTTGTCTCTCAGTTCTTGCTTCAATGGAGGCACGTGTGTGGATGGAATCAACTCCTTTTCTTGTCTGTGCCCCATGGGTTTCACTGGTCCATTCTGCCTTCATGAGATCAATGAGTGCAACTCTCATCCATGCCTGAATGAGGGCACTTGCATTGATGGCCTGGGGACCTACCATTGCAACTGCCCATTGGGCTATACAGGGAAAAACTGTCAGGTAACTAACCTCTTCCCACCCACACTCTTATTCAGTACCTACACTTGAATCAGCCCCTTCCAAGATCCACCTCTTAAGTCTGGCACCCTAAGGTCTTCTTAGTCCCTAAAGTAGTATGGGGGACCCTCTTCCTAGACGGTGATTCTGAAGTCAGTTCCAAAGGATGCAGCCATTTGATGGCAAGAGTTGCCAGTTCCTATAAACTTAGCATACGTATACTCCAGAAAATCTGACGGGTTGTGTTGTCCCTTGGAAACAAGCGAAAAAGAACAATAAAGTTTCAACAAAAATCAAGACTAGGAAAAGAGTCTGAGGATCTATACATCCATTTAGCTAGAAAAGGGAACTGTGAGAATAAATTGAAGATAGAATTAAGATAATTTGCATTTAGAGAAAGCTGAAGTTATTTGGGTGATGGTGGGCAGCTGAGTAGAAAAGAGCAGCATTCATGGGTCACTGGCTTGAATATTGCTGAGTAAGAATTCAGGTTCTGAAATGCTAGAAGAGGCTACCAAAAGAGGCTGTGTCACCCTCTTTCCTTGAAAGTCTCTAAGAACAACGGATAGTAAAAAGATGTGCTCCTTTACCAGAAGTACTAGAAAAGCAAGTGTAGAAGCAGCTAACTCTATAAAAGTTGAATTAAATACAAAAGTTTCATAGGAATATAGGTAAAGCTGATGATATTGTACATTCAAGGCAACATAAGTGGTCCAAACCAAAGGTTTCGAGCTCTGGTTTTGTGATGTGCCAAGTTATCTCTACCTCTACTTATAATGAGGGATATTGTAAAAAAATTTAAACCAAATTCATTTTAAAATGAATTTTTAAAAACAAATACAGCCTGTGTATACCTTTGTTTCTCTTCTCCCTTCAAGTAAAGATAAGAATGCCAAAAATCCAATAAAGATAAAAATCAGTGTCCTTATCCAGGCTGTTTTTCTAGGACCATTGCAGTTAGCATTTAACATATTAAATGTGTCTGCACCAGCCTGGTTTTAATGAGCATCTTCTTTCCCTTTGTGTGGGGCCAAAACGGCTTCCAGTGTACAGGAAAGGGAGAAGCATTTCTGGCAGAACAAAATGAGTGGGAATTTCTGGCAAAATGAGTCTGCACTTGGCTACACTTGGCTGCTATTTTATTTCTAGTGGAATGCCAGTGCCTGCCCTTTCTTCTTTTCCCTTTCTGAATTCTCAGATATTTACGTGTGTGTGTGTGTGTGTGTGTGTGTGTGTGTGTGTGTGTGTGTGTG